GAGGTAAAGAAGGTCAAGGAGATGGGGACAAAAAGTGTCCCCCCCCAAAAGGCGATCCCGGTTAACTCAATTTTACCATCATCCCATTGAACTCCAGGAGGAACAAAAAGCCATCGCGATGTGAGATTGGTTCTCTCAGCGATAGGCCTGTCCTCCATCGGCCGTTTTGCTTGTATGACGGAGAATAAGAAGGTGGAATTACTTGAAATTAGTATAGAAATAAAGTTTGTGTATGTAAATCGAAAATAAAACAGCCGATGGAGGACAGGCCTACTCAGCGATCCTGTACAGTCTACTGCGGTAGAACATGCTCGGCGGTCTCCGTGAGTAGACAAACTTTCGACCGTTCAGTTCCGCTATTCGCCGATTGAAAACTACTGCCGTAGCATATGGAACCCAGCACACCATCCCTTGACATGCAGCCTTCGACATAAAAAAAAAGCACGCATGACTGGGGACTGAGGCTGTGGGGGCCGACAGCCCCCCGCGGCCGGAGCATGTACTTGCTTTTCCGAGAAAGCTCGGAGTACAGCATAGGTACCGTAAGATCGAGTTTCTGGGTGAGTGCGGTGAGTGTTGATTGGCGGAAGTCAGCAGTCCGGCCGCCCCGACAAAAACTGAAGGGAAGCATGCTGCAGATGTCACCGTGTCACCTACACCTGCTGCTCTCTGCTCTCTGCTCTCTGCTCGGCTCTCTGCTCTCTGCCTCAGAAGACGATACAGGGTATACCACGGTCTACCACTCACAGCAGCCCACCATCTACTGTAGAGAAAGAGGGGCAACAAAACGGATGGATTTTGACACACATGGTGAACACCATCATCACCAAAAATATCCCCAAACCGCCTCAAACATGCAACAAGAAGAGCTGTGCAGCGAGGTAGGTTCGGCCGATCGTGGACGAGTCACCGCAGCGCTCCCGCTGTTTACCTCCCTCTACCCTGTACTTGGTGAGTCAAGTCCTGCGGTAAGCGTGTGCTTCGGAATCTCTCGCCGTAGTATTAGCTAACGGCGGCCGAATACAATACTCTCTTCTTCCCCTCGCTGCCTCGGCAAGGTTTTGCTTGTTCGTGAGGTGGATTATGCCATCCTTACGAAGGCTACTGTGGTGATACCCATGTGTGGTTTTGAGCTAGATGCAATTGCGCAAGTAGTGGCTGTTACTCGTTCTTGGACCTTCGGGGTATCTCCGATCATATCTTTGACAAGTTGTCACGTGTTCCGCTGTCGCGTGTTCCGAGTCCCGAATGCGTCTTTACTACGAGGAATTACTTGCGGCTGTTGTACGAGTGCCTCGATGTTTGTGATGCATCCTGGTGCTCACTCTCTCCCGTGGGTTGTGTCCACGAAGGCAACCAATAAAAAGTCTTAACCATCCCTCCACGTTTGTCAACCGAGTCAGCCGTACTAATCCAGCAGCACTAGGCTTGGGGCCAATCAACATTGCTTAGGCATGACCCATAGCGAGCGGGGGGGCCTTTCTAGCTAGCAGAGCTAGACTCATCCTCAAGGGACCGATACCTTCTTGTTGCGGCGCACCCGCCGCGAGGCGTGCGTAGTTGTGGAGTTGGGTCGGCACTGGTGCGTCAGGTACGAAGGTGCAGATGCGCGGGCCTTCATGGCCGTCGGTGTAGGCAGCAATGCCCATCCATCGCATCTTCGTGCGCGGAGGCAGACGCCATCAGAAAGGTGGACGGGCACTATGTATACGGCCCCATGTTTGCAAGGGGGAGCTGCACTGTCTCAGTAACCTGGTTTAGCCACCAAAGGAGGAGGGGACAGGTGGTGACGAGCTGATTGGGCTGGTTGACCCTTCAGCGCGAGGATTTTCAGACCAAAGACCCTAACTAAGTGCAACGAGGGAGAAAGCGAGGAACCGACTGGGAAGGACAGCAAGGAGAGCGTGTACGGACGGAGCGGGTCGAGTTCGGTCGTGCTAGGACTAGCCACAGCGACACCAGAGCAGTGGCGCCGGAGCAGCGGGACCGGAGCAGCGGAACCGGAGCAGCGGAACCGGAGCATGCGGACGGCATCGAACCGTGGTGCACGGACACACATCTCTTGTGTTGTCAATTATTTTCTGTTTTTATTTTCCTGAATATAGGTGTTGGGTGTGTGTGATGACGTCACTGGTTTTGTAGAGAGCCGCGGCAGAGATGGCGCGGATAACCCGGGTGCCTTAATTGTGTACCTGCATCGTGGAAGACCCCTTCAATGTGGAACGATTCCTAGTCAGTGTCGATGTTTAGTCTACACTGCTGGGGCTAACACAGATGATCTGGATGAATTCGGGTGATTGTCAATTGCGATGATGGCTTTGGCTGCTTTTTCTTCTTATTGTATGTCCACGGAAGCATTCTGACAGCACTCAGACAGCAGCTGCATGCCCCGCGCTTGTGTACCATGCACCATGGTGTTATTATTGTACAGACAGTACTTAAGACAGCAGTACGCTGAAGTCGACAAACATTCATTTTGGTAAAGTGCGGGACAAGGGGGTGATGCTGCTGGTGTAGTCGAATTGTAGTGTGTGGGCGGGTAGTTCAGTTGTGAGCACGCAAACGTGCTGCAGGAATTGATTGTAGGTGCACCTCCTCGGGCTGGTGTACCCTTTTCTTGCTAATAGTGTGCGTGTTCTTTAGATCTTCTGATGGCTTTAGCATTTTTGTGACCACGGACCGAGTCTTTGCTAGATTTTGGGATTAGCAACTGACACGAGTTTATGTAAATATAACAACCACAATACACATATTGTAGGAGGAGTCAGGAGCGATGTGTAGAGCCCGTTGCCCGCTGCCAGCAGCGTAAGCGAGAAAAGCAACTGCACACCCATGCCCAGCAGCAGCAGCTACATTGTTGCGGCGCAAGACAAGCCCATAATGGTTCACAGTAGAAGAAGTAAACTCGGAGAGGGCGAGGGCAGTGAGGACAAGGGAGGGGGGGAGGGAGAAGAAGACGAGGAAGGAGGGGACAAAAGGGAGGAGGAGGACAAGGAGAGGGAGAGAGGACGCTCGAGGGTGTGTAAACGCACCCCGAAACGATATTGTTCTCTTCGGGTTGTTGCCGCAGGGTAAGGGTTGGGGTGAGCAGATTTGCATGCCAGAATTTCGGCAAAAAATGTAGAGCAGAACGGTAGGCGGACAGAACACTCTCCGCATACTTGCGAGCTCCTACGACACATTAACCCTTCTTTTCTTTTTTTCGGTTTCGGTGGGCAAATATTTCGGTTCTTTGACAAGGTTCCGACCACAAACTGCTGGTGGTCGGAAAAGTTCTATTCGGTCCTGCTGTCCACACCTCGCAGACCAGGAACTGGATCACAGAGACAATGACAGGCGCTACAACCACGCGGTCTGCAGCCAGACGAGGTTCGGTACGTGGACTGTGTAACAGTCGCGGTCATGGAGGTACGGGGGCCGTGCTTGGGCGGAGGGGTAACAGAGCTGCGAGGTGGGCGTCTGTCAAGAAAACATCCTCACCTGATCGTGGACTCCCTCCGCGTCACCCGGCGACTCGTCACTCGAAGCTTGGTCAAGAACAACAGGATGACGGCAGGGAGGACGAGGCTATCGCGGCCCTAGTTTCCCTAGAGCAAGGAGGTCCGCCGCCCGCTGGTACTCCCCCGCGTCGTGAGCCAAATGCTGCTGGTGCGCATGGGTCTGCCGGGAAGAGAACTCCAAGAGGGCGATTGCATGAAGCCTGAGGATCCTACGCCGCAATGAACAACGCGGGTAAGGGACTACCGGCTTCCATACTTAGCCAGGCTTCTCCTTGGGTGGCGAGCGGAGCGGTGCTGCTGGTGCCTCCTTTCGTGACTTTGTTGTTTGTTTTTCTCCCAAAACTGGCTCTCTGCGGTCAAAGATCTTCCAAGCATGCGTGTACACCCAGAAATCACGGCGGCAAGGGTGGTGCAGCAGTGGGTCCATGTGTGGGGCTCGCGGGGATAGGGATGCGGTATGTTTAAGCGTGACGCACAGGAGTACAGTGGTACTTCTGCTGTACAGCAGTAGCAGCTACACGGAGAGAAATAGACTGTAGACTACAGCAGCATTAGCTTCTGAGCAGGTGTGCATGCCTGTCTCCGACAGCAACCGTCCGCACAGACGATGTACCTGTGCAAGCTATACCTGTTAGCACATCTTCTCCACCTCATCCTTGGACAGAACAAACGGCAAGCGCATATGCTAGCGGTGCTAGATGCGAAGACGCTAACGGGAAACCGCGTCACAGAAGCGCCAGATGGACGAAAAAAACGGCCCGCTCATCAGAGAATCGAGACCACCATCCACTATCGCACAAAATGCAATAAAATCGTGATCAATTTTACCATTCTGTGCTACAAATAGAGAGCTGTGATCGGAGCTGCGGTCGGAGCTGTACTCCCGAGAACCCTTGCCTTTGAGCCAAATTTCGCACACAGCAGACGAGCCACCCTTCACTCTCAATACAGGGAACCACACGCACCGCAATCACAACATCAAGCACCGAGGCAGTACGATAGCATCGGCTCCGGTGTGCGCTTTCTGTGCTCTCCCACGCAGATGCGGCACCGGGTTGATCACATGTATGTTTAGCGTGCTGTATGTACCCTCCGGTGGTATTTTGCGTTTGAATCTGGAAAGGATATCTGCCCCACGTCAGAGAGATTAGGCATGGGTGAGTATTGTACTATGTGAGCCCTGTGCGTATTGCTTATAAGCGGGCTTTTGGGGTGGGCTGCCTGTGTCTCCCTGCTGGCCTCTATGTATGTTTGCTGTCAGCCGAGGCACAACGGCGATATTTCGGCACGCAAAGTGATCGGAGCTGAGAACGGATCTGAATCGGCCTGTAGTCATGTAAGGGTTGAATTCATCCCGGGTTTCCCCGTCCGCCAATTTTTTCCGTTTGGGCCGATTTTTTCCGGTTGGGCGATTTTTTTCCGTCTGGGCCGGGTCCCGACGGAAAAATCCACCGGGATATTTTTTGAGGATTCACAGTTGTTTTTGGCCGGAAGAAATACGCCTGCAACTTTTCCCGTCGAGGACGGGACGAAGCGGGACGTACGTGCACACTCAATCAAGCGCTCCCTGCGCAGAAGGCCGAGCAGCGGAGACTGGGGTTTCTTTCACAGCAACGTGTGTGCAATTGTTGAGTCGGTATTCGGGCGCGCGAGAAGGTTCTTGGTGCCCGCGTGCGGCGGAAGTGCAGCTCGCGTTATATTTTGACCTGGATCATCTTTGATCGAGGTAGGAGGGCCTCTGGAAGAGGAGAGAGGATCGCGACTCAGCGCGAGGCGGCAGGAGGCCAGGCGACAAGAGCCCGCCCGTCTGTGAGTGGGTAGGAGGAGAAGGAGAAGGGGGCGTCCCTGAGTGGTTGCATGGACAGCAGTGCGACCGGAGAGGAGAGCGACTCCGGCAGCAGCTCCAGCATGGTCGTAGACGTGGTCCCTACCTCGCGTGCACGTGGAGGAGGTACGCAGGAAGTCAGCGGTGACGCCTCGTCACCTTTGTCGAGGGGTTCGAGCATGTCGCCTGCCACTCGTTCATCCCCGCGTCTGCAGCGTAGGCGAGGCGAGAACGCGCCAGAGAACGACCCTTCATCTCCATCGAGTGGCGCAGACGATCATGGTCATGGAGTGGTTCAAAGGCACCGTCATTGAGAAACCGTTGGTTCTTCTCAGCAGGCAAAAGTCGAGCCGCCCGTCCACCGGGTGTTTTTTTTCCGTTACTTTTTTCCCGGGAAGCACGCTAAACGGATTTTTCTAACGGGTTTCTGTGGGGAAAACCTTGAATAACTGATTATGTTCCGCGGTTTTCGTCGAGCATTGGGGTTCTTCGTTCACGCGCGTAGAGGCGTGATGGTTGTATTCTCTTGACATAGAGTTCCAAGCCGCCTGCGAGCAAACGGCAGCATCCACGAAACCGACATATTACGCACTTTCCGACGATCGGGCGTTTGGCAAGCCAGACACAGTGATGCTTGATGATGACCTAGGGGTCGCATTTGTAGCCACAGTGAACGCAAACACTTGGCACCGGCGGCTTGGACATCTCAACTTCCGGAGCATGGAACTGCTGCGTAAAAAGAAGTCGATTTCTCGGACTCCATGACGCCGTGCGACATCTGCGCCATCAGCAAGAGCAGGCAGCTACAGTTGAGGCCCGCACTTAAGTATATGGCTCTAAAAATATCTGAAATTAAGAATTTGCCGGTAAGAACACGTGTTCAGATTGCACCTGCAGCTAAGGACAAGAACGCACGCCTGAGGTGTACCACTGCTGCTAAAGATAAGAACAAGAGCACATTCAGCAGCTGCGAGATAAGAACATTCGAACGGGGAGGGAGGGACGGGCGGGGGGGTGATCCATGTATTGGATTTGGCAGGGGGAATGTGTGCCGAAGGTGGGTGCATACATACACACACCTCGGAATCTGCAATTTTTGCAGAGGAGAGGGTGAGCACTGTACACGTCGCGCCCCCTTGGCGGCTGCCAGGCCACGCACGTGCAGAGGGCCACGATTTTCCTGCCGTACAGGGGGATCATGTCCCTGTCCAATCCCCTATCCCATGGGTTGTTGAAAGATCTTGGCAAACTTGCAGAGTTGAAAGGGCGGGGTCTGATTCTTGAACGTCACCTCGAGACGATAAAAACACATGTGCCTCCGTTGCGAAGGAGCGGTGGGAGGCCATCGGGCGCGCGTGGGGGTTGAAGCAGAACGGTATCTTCGACGAAGGAGAGTGGATCGCGCAGATTGATGGTGAAATCCAGGGCATTACCAGCAGCACCCGCCTGTCCTTGTCATCCCAACAAGATGCCAGCAGCGCACGAGGTGCTGCTGCACCTTCTCAGCACCCACCTGCTGCTGCAGCGGGTACCGCGAGGAGGAAGGTGGATCGAAGGAAGCACGTCAGGGAGAGAGCTGCGAAAGGCATGTTAGGCGGCAACATCTGCAACGCGTTCTCGATTGGCAGCGGACAACCGGTGAGTTCGGTTACATATGTATCCGACGCACGCTGTTGCTTTGTTTTGCGACACAGGTGGTACTTTTTGTGTTTTTGATTCCCGATAGTCTAAGCAAGAGAAAAAATGGAAAAAAAAGGTAACTATATTAGTCTATGTGACCCAAACGAAACAGACGTCATCTTCCCACTCTCTCGTGTGATTCACGATAATCTTTTCAAGGAAGTATTCGTTCAGAGGGCATAGATACTTTTGCCAGCGGCATCCACGGAAGTTTGAATTCAACAGCGCCACAACTAAGAGCGACCGACACGTCACATGGCTCGTTGAATCCCCTACGCGGCAATTCCGCCCTTTCCCATCGCACCGAACAGAGTGAGCGGACTCGTGGTGGAGTGCAAGAGTTCGTATCCGGTATCAGCTTCCCGCCTCCGGCCCCGGAGTCCCGCCGATCCTGCCCTCACTGTCCCATGACCTTCGTGAACGAGCAAGGCCTTGGGATCCACGTGAAAACTCATCACAGTAGTGCAAACATGTCCAACGGCGTGCGGCTGCGGCGGATGCTACGGAAGAATCTCGAAGGGCGTGTCCTGCCGTGGGAAGAAGCCGGGCCTGGGCGTTGTGGGCACGTGAAGGTCGATGATGCGACGGGAGCGGCTCGTTTGTCCTCCAGCGGAAGCGCTTTCTCGATCTAGACTCGGAAAGCGACGGCTTTATGGACCGCGAAACCAAGGAAACTTGTGGAGCTCCCAAGCGTAGGCGATACGACTATAGGGTCAAAGCCAGTGCTGTCAGCCAGCTGCGCATCCTCGAGGACAACGACGCGGACCTCTGGAAGGAGGAGGAGCGCACGCCTCTTCAGAACTTAGCGGATCGTCTCAAGGTTCACTACAGCAACATCGTGAAGTGGACCAACGACGAGAAGGCCATAGTCGCGGCGGCAGCAGACGACGTGAAGAAGAGCCTCCTCGCCAAGCAGCAGCCTAAGCGGTGGTTTCCTGAGGCAGAAAAGGGGCTTTGCAAGATGTTCGTGGAGCGGCGTAAGAGGAAGCTGAAGGTATCGACGCTGTGGCTGACGATCACGTTCCGGAAGCTCGTGCGAGAGATATATCCGGGGGACCAAAGGGCGGCGGCGTTCCGCGCATCCTTCAGGTGGGCACGAAAATGGGCCAAGAGGCACAACCTGTACAAAAGACGTCGGACCAACCCCAAGAACAAGTCTGTTGAGGAGCGCCTACCAAAGATCTAGCGCTTCCACCGACTGTTTCGCAAGCTCCTGCAAGAGCCGGTACGGTACAGGGTGCCCGATGAGTCGGACGTATCGGCGATTACGACGGTCGCAGAGAGGGAGTCCAGAGTTCCCAAGTATGGTCAATTCCAGCTCTGGGAGCGTTGGAATGTTGATCAAGTGCCTTTGGCATTCGTAAACGGGCTGCTCAATACGTGGGAGGAGCGAGGTGCGAAGCGTGTCGCCATCTCACAGCCCTTTCCTGGCCTAGAGAAAAGGCAGTGCACCATGCAAGTCATCTTTGGTCCGGGTGAGAAGACCTTGCTAATTTCGGTGATTTTCCGAGGCACGGGGAAGCGGATCTCGCTGGTGCAGAAGGCCGCGTACCACAAGGACGTGGACGTGTTCTTCCAGGAGAATGCTTGGGCCGACCAAAAGTTCTGTATGGAGTGGGCTAANTCAATTCCAGCTCTGGGAGCGTTGGAATGTTGATCAAGTGCCTTTGGCATTCGTAAACGGGCTGCTCAATACGTGGGAGGAGCGAGGTGCGAAGCGTGTCGCCATCTCACAGCCCTTTCCTGGCCTAGAGAAAAGGCAGTGCACCATGCAAGTCATCTTTGGTCCGGGTGAGAAGACCTTGCTAATTTCGGTGATTTTCCGAGGCACGGGGAAGCGGATCTCGCTGGTGCAGAAGGCCGCGTACCACAAGGACGTGGACGTGTTCTTCCAGGAGAATGCTTGGGCCGACCAAAAGTTCTGTATGGAGTGGGCTAAGAGGTCCTACCGCGAAGGCCTGATGCACGGGCGGGGTGAGCTTTCCAAGGCGAGGTCCATTCTTATCATGGACAGCTTGTACGCGCAGACGACGGACGAGTTCAAGGAGTATCTTGCGAAGGAGTGCAACACTCTCGCCTGGTATGGCCCTTCGGAGTGGACGGACGAGGTGCAGCCAGTTGATGCAGGAGCCGGACGATTTTTCAAGGTGGAAGCTGGGAGGCAGGTGGACATGTGGTTCGAGCAGTCGGACAACCTCGAGAGGTGGGAAACCGCGGCGCTGACAGCTTCTGATCGGCGGGTACTGATCACTCAGTGGATTGGAGCGGCCATGGCAAGACTCAACAGCCAACAGGCGTTCCGATTCCGCCTTTTCGAAAAGTGCGGGATGGCCATGACTGTCGACGGTTCAGGCGATGATCGGATCACCTTGGAGGGTTTGGACAAGCCGTACACCTTCGCAAACGATGAAGACTGTAGCGAGGACGAAGAAGGTTTGGAGAACGGCAGCGATGAGCCTGAGGGGCGGGGGAAGGAGGGCGCTGGACGTGAGACGGTCGTGGGGGGCGCTGATTCCAGCGATGATGAAGACGACGGCGGTAAGTTTGACTTGCAATAGACCCAATCTTTGTCATTTCCTTGTTGATGACAATGTCCATGTTAATATTTGCTTGGATTTTGCTGATGTGCTGTTTCCGCGTTCACGACTACGAGCAAATATGATGGGTTCATGTTGAGTTTCGGCCGTGACACCGTACTTCTTGTGGTGTTTCACGGTGCCCCGTTCGCAGGCACGTCTCAAACCCAGACCGATGAGCTAGCTCTTCTCAACGTCGACGACAGCATGGACCCACAAGACCCGGAGGACGAGACACAAGGAATGGAGATCCCGACAGGCTTTCGCATTCAAGAAGTTAAACCCGTTGCTCTTGACAGATTGCTTTTGCGACGTGGAGTGCTCGTTAGGCTGGGGATGGGGTGGTTTGGAGGGTTGATCATTCAGCAATCTCAGCCGGACACTCGTCACCGGTACGGCTACTGTTTGCAGCTGGAGCTAGACCAGAGTACGCGCAAGATGAAGCTGCCCTTAGACAAGTACACCAGAGATCTGGATGCGACGGTAGGCTACTGGGTTTTGCTTGAGAGCGTTAGTAGATCGGGGAGGGTACGCAGCACCAACGTCGCCCTTGTGAACCAAGATGGTTGACAGTTGCTACTGCATGCCTTGGAGTGTTCTTGTACCAAACAACAGCATTGTTCCTCATGCTAAACACTATAAACACTCCGCCGAGTGCAGTTGACAGCCGCCAACAAAGTATGTCGTCATTCAACGTACGCCAACAGGGCCAATTAGTGTTGAAAAAAATGAACAAGAACATTTCGCTGGAGAAAAATGGGACGGCGAAATAAAAACATGGCCAATAAGACCACGTGCTCGGGTTGGGGCAGCCAATAAGAACTGAGCCTCGCTCAAAATAGGAGGTGCTTAAGTGCGGGCCTCAACTGTAGCACATCCGAAAAAGACTACTCGCGAGACGACCGCACCTATGTAACTGGTGTACACCGACAACATGGTAAAATCACCCCTCTTGCGAAGGGAGGTTTTGGGTACGTTTTCAAGTTTACCGACGCATACTCGCGGATGAAGGAAATCTACCTGCTCAAGGCCAAATCCGAGACCGTTCGAGCACTTCACGCCTACAACATGTAGGTGGCTGCTCCGCTAGGCCGCCGCATTGAGATCATTCGGTGCGACAGAGGAGGGGAAAACGTCGCCAACATTTTCACCGCGTACTGCATGGACTCAGGCATCACCATCGAATATGCCGCGACCAACACGCCTCAGCAGAATGGCGTGTCCGGGCGAGACGGGCAAACCCTGACGACAATTACCCGCTGTCTCATGGAGGATGGAGCCTTTCCGCCTACCCTGTGGGGGGAACTTATGATGACGGCAGTGGACCTTTCCAACCGGTCACCTCATTCGGTACTAGGAGGCGTCACCCCGTACTTCAAGATGTACGGCAAGGAAGCGGACCTGTCTCGCCTCCGGGTCATCGGGGCCAGATCTTTCGTGAATTACGAGCGGTACACGAAGAAACTGAGTGACCGCACGTTCGAAGGCAAACTCTGCGGCTTCAGTCGAGACAGCAAGACCTACCGGATCTACAATCCTGCAACCGGCAACGTAGTGGAAAGCAGGAACGTGACCTTCATTGAGACACCAGCGTACTCCATGCCACCCAGTGTGCTCGATGACGACAACTTCTATTGGAGGGACGTCCTGAACTTCACGTCTGTTCTAGGCAAGGTATCCACCAAAGAAGACGAGTTCGACGGATCGGGAACCCTCGACACCGTCGACATGGAAACCGAGAATCAGCTCCTCCGACAAGAGATCCGCCTTATGCGACACAACAACTTGATTCGGGAAGAGATTCGACAACAGGCGATCGACACGGGACATGACACTCCGCCCAGCCCGCCGACTTCGCCTCAGGTAGCCACATCCGGCAAGGACCCAGATGTTGCAGAGGAAAAAAGCATCGCACCAGGCAGCGCGCCGAAGCCGACCCAGGGGATATCGCGGCCACATAAAGTGACCCGCGCCGCCACCAGGAGGAGGCCGAACGCCTCTGATTCAATTGACCCCTCCTTTGCACCTAGTTCTCTGGACACCACCATGGATGACGGCGGGAGTGGATGCATGACGTCTACTACGATGCGGCCCGACCCCAGCGCACTGACATCTGAACAGCTTTTGGACTTCGCCAACAAGACGTCGTTCCGGATTTTGCTCAACTGAACGAAGAATTGCTCTCAGCATAGCGGGTTTACGTGTACGCTACAGGCACCCCAATGCAGCAAGGATCCTTGGAGGAGGAGCGCATCAAAATCCCGAACAGCTACAAGGAGACCATCAACTCCCCGCAAGCGCCACAGTGGAAAGCAGCCATCGCAAAGGAGATGGACAGTCTGGCGGAACACAAGGGCTACAAGTCGGTCTCCATCACCAGCGTTCCCAAGGAAGAGAAGATCCTAGGTACAAGGTTCGTCTTCAAACAGAAAGCTGACGGGAAATTCAAGGTCAGTCTGGTGGTTCAAGGCCAGGTGCAGGAGTCTGGCATCGACTACAGGAGGAGCTACGCACCGGTGTGCCGCATCGGGAGCGTTCGCACCTTACTCGCTATAGCATGCGAACAAGGATGGTCAGAATCTCAGATGGACTTCGCCGTGGCGTTTCTGCAGTCTGCAATTGACAAGACGTCTGGGTCAAGCCCGCCCCAGGACAAAGACACAAAGCATCCCGCGACTGGGGACATCATTGTCTACAAGCTCGAACGCAGTCTTTATGGGATTTCACAGTCGCCAGTGCTCTGGTTCGACACCATGGGAGACGTGTTGGTGGTGATCGGATTCAGGCCCACACGTCCGACCCCTGCGTATTCATATACGGAAGCGGCGACACTCTCGTCATCCTAACTCTGGACGTCGACGACATCCTCATCAGCGGAAAGGACCCCGAGCTCGTAGCTGGCCTCAAGAAAGAACTCCACGACCGCTTCGAAATGACGGACATGGGGGAAGTCAGCCTCATTCTAGGCATGCAAGTCACGTGCAGCTACGAGGAAGGCACACTGACAGTCTCGCAGAACAATTACATCAAGACTATCCTGGAAAGGGTCGGCATGGAAAACCCCAACCCCGTCAAGACTCCAGGATATGGACCGGAACTCTCTACTGATCAGCCAGCAGACAAGCTACTCGGAGCGGCAGACACCAAACTGTACCAGCCCATCACAGGCAACCTGCTCTACCTGGCTCAATGCACCAGCATTAGCCACGACGGCGGAGATGGATAGCAGCATGGACGAATCGTACGAGTACCACCAGCAGCGCGACAGCGAGCGTCGCCGCTCGCTCTCCGAGTCCAACGCCGGAGATGGAGAAGAACGGCATATCCTCATGCGCGATCGAGTAGGCGGGGAAAGGCGCCGTCGCGCGCACTACTTCAAAGACGAAAGGGAATTTTGTGAAAAAAGGCTACACAGTCAACCAAGACGTTCTGCCGACGACCCCCGGCCTCCGGCCCCCGGGAGGTGTTCGCGTCGAGGATGATGGAACTGGGTTTCGGAGATGACAAGGCCGTCCGCAGCATGCTCGAATTCATGCTGTCATTGAAGAATTTGGTTGATGTTGTCCAGATCGACCATAATAAGGATGCCACTTGGAACTTCCTCAAGGCCTCGCGGGTCATGAAAAGCTCCCATCACGAAGACCTTGAGGGACGCTTCAAGTTCGAGACGGCTACCAACATCAGGGAGAACATCATCTCCAGGCGCAACAAGATGAAGGACGAAGCAGGAGCCACCAAGCACATGTCCACCAACGGGCGTGAATTCGGTGATGAATCTTCTTGATTGAACAAATCAGGTTCCGTTTATTGCGTTATTTTTTTTTAATTGCAGATAAGTTTGTTTCCTCGCCGCCGAGTGTTTATCACAATGAAACTAGGTTCATAGCAAGCAGGAACAGCTGTTCGCCGAGTAGACAGATCGCTTAGGGAGTTTTACCGTTCCCACATGGTATGATTGACAAGTACATAGCACGAGAGTTGTGTGTGCAGGCAGCGTAAGAAAATGATATGAGAGTCGAACCACGTTTGCCGTGTTTCTTGATCAAAGGGTCGTGTCGGAGGTATGCACCGCTTGTTGTGTTACTTGATTAAGGGGTCGGGTCGGAGATATGCATCATGGCTGGATACCTGCAGTAGCATAACGAGTCACGCTGGATACCTGCAGTATTGCATCATCATGAGTCAAGCATTTCGCTCTGTAGTCGATTGCAGCAACACAACAAGACGTCTCTGTCTGTTGCGTACATACGTATGTGCAAGTACATGCGTTCTACGCGTGTAGCCTAGGGTAAATAGGCTGAGAGTTTTGTGCTAGATACATACACAGCAGCGGTAGAAGCCTGCGTGTAGAAGTTGACCAGGGAGACTCTGCGTCAGAGAGATTGACGGAATATGTTCAAGTCGAGCAGCGAGACTCTTGGTTATCGAAATGTTTGCGGTGAAAGTTTTGCTGAGTTGTTCAAAAAGACCCCGAGAGACCAGTACAGCAAGTAGATCTCGGGATAACCCTCTTTTTTGACGCTTGTATGATACTGTTTTTTGTTTTCGAGATGAGACACAAGCGCGCTCTCGCCCCCTGTGTGCTCACCCCACTTTAGCACCATCAAAACCTGACCCGTCGCTTCTTTGTTCCGAGGCACCCATCAAGTTGCACCCGCACTCGAAGTGTAACCTCTGTGTAGGCTGCTGTACAACCACAGCTGCTGTGCAACCACAGCCTACGAAGCGACCGCTGCACACAGCACACACCCGCTGCCGCAGAGACGCTTATCCCCGAGATGCACTCGCCATTCGAGGGAGTTCATGCGTGCCTGGTCCTTGCCATCCCGCTGGCCGGTTTTTAGGCCAAAAATCTACGTCTTGGTCTCAACTCGAGGTTGTAAGTGATTGTCAGTAATGCTGCGGGCGATTCCTCGCCCCAGCATAGGACAGCGGTGGGCATCAACACTACCATTGTGCACGAGCTGTCTGCTAAGTGGCAAGCCCGAAATGCGGCCTAAAACGGCAGCAGCCAGCGTGGTCGGCATGCCAAAATCGTGTGGTGCGAACTCTACTCACAGCCACCCACGTGGCACCAAACTTCAGGAAGGGTCTATCTGGGTATCATGGTCGACTCCTTACCTTGTGGATCCGCCATGATGACGCTGGAGCAGATGGCGCCGATGGCCCACAGCAGCCCAGCTGTGATCGTGCTCAAATTATAAGCGATTCGGCCTGCTTCTGCAACTCTGGTTGGGCCACATGTCACAGTCCCGTTAGTTCCCTTTTTGAAACCGTCTGATTTTTTCTCGAACTGAGCTGTGTTTGTCAGAGGGAAACTGCAATCCCCAGTGCTGCCTCAATTGATTACTCGCAGAGTGTCGTCAACCGTCGATCGTCATTTTAGCTACCAAACAAATACCCGATGTCAGAATACTGCTTGTTGTACTGCGGCGGACAGTATGGTATCACATTCCCCCCCCATGGTTTTCGACAGCAGAGTGCAACAATCAGGCGTGATTCCGCAACATCCAGGATGCCAATTTTGCATTCCAACGCCATCACGGATAAAACTCCAAAGCGAAACAAGAACCCAACATAGACATACCTAAAAGATGAGTGGCCAAAATCGGGTACACCCGACCCCAATCCGGCCATTATCGGTTACACTTGTTTTCACAGTCGGCAGCGCCCTCCTGGCGCCATCTGATTGGCCGACGCCCGCCCCTACCCGGCCCTGACCCTATTCCCACCGGATGCACCCGATCTTGGCTACTCACCCCCCGGAGGGGTACCCGATGATACTCTCGCCTACCCGAAAATGGCTGGGCTATTCGAACAACAGACCACCAGCAGACCACGCTCACGAACACACGTCACCAACACCCCGCACTCGAATTCCGACGCTTGCGACGACGGGCGGAGGCGGACCTAACCCGGCTATAGCGGCGGAACTCTCGTTTGAAGTGGATCAGTGGATCTCCCTCCTGCAACGCGGCGGAACTCTCGTTTGAAGTAAATCTCGCTCCTCAACCCACCAAGTCTCTCGTGGTTAATCTCGGCACTCGTGCCTGAACGGTAGACTGGCATCGGCAGAATATGAGCGATGAAGTAGAGAACACCAAGGTCCTCGCGCAAGGCGCGTGCTACATCACCACTAGCTATCATGCTGTGTGTACCACCACTCTCTCTATCTTTCCCCATCTCCTGTGGCAAGCCCGCAGTTTCTTGTCTCTCCCACGTACTCACGAGAGGTCGAAGTGAAGGAAATACGTATTATCGTAAAATCCGACGTCCCACGGCATCCACTGCTTGCTGCTGCTGCATTACTGTACGATCCTCTTCCTACTCAACAATGTGTCATATATCTCCGGTCTTGATCGAGACATAACCACGGCATCCACTGCTTGCTGCTGCTGCATTGCTGTGTACGAACGACCCTCTGCGTACACAACAACGTGCCATACATCTCCGGTCTTGAAATGTCTATACATGTGTTCCAGACGAAGCGACACCCAGATGCTTCTGTGCCTGATGCCCATATACACCTGGGTGAAGGAGTACCTCGACGTGAGTCAGGATTGCCTCACCTTTTTGGGCGTGAAGGAACCCACCTGTGTGTGCCGAAGGGTCAAACAATTCGATGGTGTTCAAACGTGTTCCTCAACCATTGTGTATAATATGGTGTTGGTTTGGTAGGCCACTGGTTCTGTTGCAATGTGGCGACACGTGTTACCCCCACGACGTGACGTTCACCGTGTGGTTGTGGATGGAGTACGCTTACCATTTTGCGAACTCCACTGTCTTTCGCTGGTCGTATTCGCCTTGACGCTTTCCTTCAGCACAAGCCGGGTTTCAAGTGTTTTTTTTTTCTTTGCATCGAATGAACGAGATTGTTGCGTCTGAAAAGAGCATGCTTTGCCCACCAAGCAACTTCTGCTCGTGGTTGCTTGCAGTGAGAAACCTTCCCGTACGTTTCGCGGGTTAGACACGTTACTTCAGTCTGCAATCCCAACAACTTATTGGTCTAGTCTATGTACCGTTGCTTCCGAAACTTTGACCTGTTTTTCTCTTACTCATCAGGTGTACTACAGCACCGACGCGGACATCACCGACGACTATGAGCTGCAGGTGACACTTGAAACTCATCGTCCTTTGCCGTCGCGAGCGTTGGTGCAATCCGATTGTGTGACTGCCGTTTGTACGTGCTCATTCTAACATGTGTTTGGAGTAGGCGGCTGTGCAGCCTTCACGTCCAGCGCGCGCCCACACTACAAACCAAAACCGGGGTTCAATCAACTGTGAACTAAAGGAGCTTGATGGTTTAGGAAGGGGATGGACACCAGCAATGGAGTAGATGATAGAGCCGCCTTTGCGAACTGACGAGTAAAGTCGGTCTGGTTTGGTTCCGTTTTGACGCGTACATGACGACGCCATCTGATAACGTACCCCGCTGCCGGTACCCACTTCCAATGCTGCGACTACCTTCCACGACCCTACCCTCTGTCCCGCCGACAGTTCATGGACGAACGGTAGGCAAAAACGATCGCGTGGACGTCGACGATAGTGACACATTTAGAGGTGGCGAAGAAATGCCTCTCTGAGAGTGGATCTCGCTTCTGACTCCGTGTTGGTGAAACTGTGGAAGATAAACATAGACAGGAGTCTTCCGCGCTATAACAGGGGCCTCCCTTCCGCCCATCACCCACGCAGGCGTTCGTAAACGAGCTCGCTACCGTGGGAGAATTCAAGTGGCTTGCTGAATGGGACAACTCCACGGACAAGAAGGGCCTCTTCGCCAAGGTCCGCATTGAGTGTTGTTGCTGCTGCTGGTTTTCTTGCTGCCGGACAACGATCTGCGACCTTTGCATGACGTGTGTCAACGAGTCCTAGGAGTGTTTTTGGTATATCTCCACCACGCTGTCACGCCCGTGACATATCTCTCAACGCGGTCAAGTCTTTTGTTGTTTTTTGGACGTTTCGCTGTTGGCAACTCTCAAGTTGCGGTCCGTCGCTGGCGGTGTCTTTGATAGTCTACCGGTTTCCCTCCTGAGGCTGTCCTCTTTTGTCACATGTCACAGGCGCTGGCTAGTCTGATCTACTCTGCGAGCACTCTGCACGCCGCGGTCAACTTCCCCCAGACGACCACAATATCCTTCGCGCCCAGCAACCCCGCTTCTGTCTACGTGCCACCCCCCACCGACAAGGTAAGGGCGGCACGGGATACTGGAATCGCAGGATAAGTCGACACGGTTTCGCGGTGAAATTCGAGGCATATTTTTCAAGGGTGTGTTCGGTAAGGTACGGGTACGCTCAGTAGGGTGTGAACACTTACCGAAGCGTCGCGAGATTTCGGTAAGGTTTGGAAGCCTGTACTTACCGCCCGTACATACCGGAGGTATGCCTCGGCACGTACCCTCGAACACGCTCTTTGTTGTGTGTAGAGTATGCGCGGTAGGGTATGAAATTTTACCAAGCCTGTACCGGAGGGTATCGAGACTTTTGGTGGGGTATTTTCCATGCACCGAAGCTGCCTGATGTCGACACCTCGATGATTGTCACCATCGTCGGTTGTTTTGCAGACGGAGAGGACGTTCGAAGACTATCTGGCCTATCTCCCGCCCCTCGACATCGCCACAAGGCAGGTCATCCTCTTCACCTAACTCGGCAACGTCGTCTACACAACGTGAGTCAGTCCGAATCCTCGATGACGGGCCTGAACAAACAACAACTAACTTGGGTCGACCAACTTGCCGCACGGTTTTGTGTGTACCAAGCTTTTCGTTCGAGTTGGAGTAAGAGGGGGCACCTGAATATTCGCCCTCAAGTGCTATTGTTGCTCGGCGCTCGCGTCACATACCGCCGGTCAACCTTCGGGCGACGTTCGTCGAACATGCCCTCGTCTGCTGAGGCTGCCAATGCGCTGCTTCTATTGATAAGACCCGTGTGAGAAGAACCGAGTGTACTGGCCTGTGCCAGCAAACGTCAGGAAGTGCTGCGACATCACTACGAAGGCGACAAGGCCGGCACGGTTGATTGTGGCATCTTCAGTCATTGCTAGACAACACGCGGTATGTATTGTTACCTTCTAACGTTCCACTCACGCCTCTGGTGTTGTTGCCCTCTCCCGCACAATTTAAACTCATGCCATCAAAATGCGATGACCGCTGGGGGGAACGAGCGATTACAGGCTGGGTGACTACGAGGCGAACCAGTTCAGCGACCAGCGTGTGCTAGCGCCACTCGCCAAGTCCCAACAGGCACTCGAAGACATCGAAACCGATATGGTGGACGAGTAAGTCGGCTAGCCAAGCTAGATGGAAAAAATACTCGAAAACCTATCTGCAGTCTAATGTACCAGGCGAACCTCTCATAAGAAGGTGCCACTTGGGTTGACGCTATTGGTGGACTCTGCGGCCAAGAGGTTCCGGTCGCACAAGAATGGCAGAGTTTGACGTCATTTTATCGAGGCCTCCAGACTTGACTCGGATTGTAGAATGCGGACCGACAACGGGAGGGTTTCGCTGTACCGGGGACTCCCATGTGATTGTGCGTTATCATGTGTTGACAAGGAGAGTACCTCGGCAGAAGTCAATCCTGGTTTCGTTCCTTAGCGAGAAACGGTGCAGGCTTCACCATGTCAACAAAGACTTGCTCTCCCTTTGTGGGAGTTGAGCTGTCTGATCTGAGTTGACCAATTCGCGTCGCAATGCTTTACCTACACACACGGCGAACATGACGTTCGCGATGGGCATGCCGAAGAGCGTTCCAGTCGATGACCCATGTGAACTACCACTGTTTATCCTGTAGTTATGAATGCAACAATGTATGTGTACCCTTTCCGTTCATCGACGTGCGCGCACACGGGTCAATAAGTACTTAACCCGACGGGGGCGCCGGCGCTTCCTTTCGTACGATTGTATCTCGTTTGACTTCAATTGTTGTCGTGAATGGCGAACAACCTTCCCCCCGCTCGCCGCCAAAATCCAATGCCTGGCAGGAACGCCTTCGTTGTGTCTTCCTGGCGCAAGAGAGGCAAGGAAAAGAGGGTCGCCGCCAACTTCGGGTAGACGACGCTGCTTCCCGAGAAGGTCCCGCAGTCCATCAACACATGTAGGTGCATGCGAGGTGCAGTTGAGTGGAAACTGTTTTCATAGGTTCGGTCGTTTTGATGCGGGTGACATTACCAGGGCATGCTGAGACGGGCTACACTTGGCATGACAACCCCCACCGTGCCGATATATACTACGACTTACTCGTGTGGTTTCTGTTGACAGTTGTTCTAGTAGCTATAGCAGTAGCAGTAAGGCTTCCCCCGTGTGTCATGATAGTCACTCACGGTTGCTTTGTCGAGTTGAGAGGTTGACAGAGAATGACTCACGTGCACAAGGTTGAAAACGATGGGGGAAGGTAGGAGGTGGGATGGATGACGGTCGTTGGAAGCAAATCTGTCAACCAACGCAATATTCCAGCTTTGTTTCGAGACGGTGACATCAGGATCGAACGAACATCATGCCTCACGATGTTTCCCTCGCCGCCCGCCTACCCAAACCGCTGCTTCAACGAAGACCTACATTTCAGTACGAAGAAACGCAACAAGATTGAGACCACACCATCCAGCACTAAAAACTCACTCGTCGTCAGGGCATCACGGCGTGAACCATGAGGTCCGAACGCGATGAAAATTTGAGGGACGGGGGAACGCCTAAACCTGATGGGGACCAAGGGATACTTAACTGCCTTGGCATGATGCCAACCTATTTGCCTCACTACAGTAGTCTTCATAAACTCTAAAACACCGAGCAAAATCCTCTCGAAGCTCCATCGCATTAAGCAGACCTGTGTACACCACCGAGTGAAAATACCGAGTCAGTCCCAAGGCACGCGAGACCATCTTCGTGACCGAAAGCCTTCAACCGTTCCTCCTGGTGTCGAGGCTACACGTGGTACGCGTGCGTGCATTAAGCACGGTATCCTTGCACGAACTGCAAACACCCTAGACTAGACTACAGGCCAGGTACAATTCCCGTCGGCGTCTGTCCGAAATCATTTCAGAAATTTCCACATACTGCAGCATGCATGTATGCACGGGCTTAAGATGTTGTGTCTGATGAACGTTGTTGTTGTTATCTTCACATTAAAAACCGTCCCGTTCTCTCTGCCCACTACCTTCTTCTGTCCGCACTAGTCTAACACTTGACGGGGTCGATTCGGGTGTTCACGGGCTGGTCTAACTTACCCAAAGAAGGTTACGAAAGTATCTGATGAATGAATTGTGTAGTCTGTTCAAAAAAGATCTGATCATGGTCCCTCCCAATGCCTGTCTGTCTGTGTACTACACCAGCCTACAATAGACTGCATGGAAGATCGAGATGCTAAGACCGATGAAAAAAAACAATTGAGATTCAAGGTAGGTGTCAGGAAATTCAAACCGCGTGATCTTCCGCCTTACAGAATATATGTCTCCTTGCCGACGCCCAATTGCTTCGATTTGTGTGAAACCTCCTGCAGCCCCCCTCTCTCCAGCAAAAAAAGAAAATCGGAGAACAATGTGTGTTCAGAAACAAGGTGACCTGTGACCTACCGTAGATGTTGTATATAGACTACACTGCGGTAGTCACCACCAAGTCTAAAACCGGCGGCTGGCGCCGCCGCGGTTCGTCCGGTCAAAGCTCTGCGATCGATCAACAATAGACAAATGTGGCGAGGATTCTTGTAGAGCAGACTAGTGGTATCCTCGTAATCCGCTAGTCGCAGAGGTCGTGAGTTCGAATCCCCATGGGGGGGTGTACTCATAGTCGTGCATGCCGTAGTCGTTAGTCTAGACCATTGACCTCGCATCCCTACAAAGCCGGGACGGAGCACGCCGGGATCTCACCGGACCAGGCTCTCACATCACCAAGCGCGAAGCGCCGTGAGAAATTCGGCGAGTCGCATGAAGGGTGCGCTGCATCCTGCTAAGGGTGTTCGGCATCTTGTGCTTACTTCCTTGCATACGAATGACAGCTGCGTATGACTTTATTTTCTTGAGCTTCCACTTCCTGAGACAGCTGTAGGTGATCCAGCAAGGAACGGGAGCCGAACAAATATATCTCGGAACGTTCGCAAGTTCCCAATCGGATGAACGGGTACGCACATGCCATTCGTCCGCAATTAGTCTACTTGTTGTCTCGTTAGACTAGTCTAGGTGACTACCTACAGACCTGGCTTGTACCGTACCTATTTATCGGTCGGTAGAGGCGAATATACTGGGTTTATGCATTGCACACTCGAATATGCGTAGTCTTGCTCGTCTAGACTACACTACATCTGTTCGATTTTTTCCATATAATATTCATATTTTTCGATGTTGTCTAGTATGCATAGCATACTGCTATCATTGGACTCTGTCGTCTGCCCCTCTGGCCCCTATCCTCCACTTCTACCAGCTAGACGACCCAACCGGGGTCACATAGGAGGGGGGGGTTGGACCCCCTCCTGCGGTTCCTGCCTGAGCTTTTTTTATCGCGAAAAGGGTACAGCAATCCCTTTCCTTGCGACGTTTGAAGTCGATCAAGTTTACTAACAACGAGCTTTGCAGCGCGTCGCTTCCGATGGACACCAGTATTTTTTTAGCGAGAAAAACTCACTCTGTCGGGACTCAAGGATGTACCTGACGTGTTCCTGGTCCCTGATTGTCGCTATGCGCGTCATGCACTGAGTTGTTTCTGTTCCTGCCATTCATTGTGTACGTACATAGCTGATGATGCGTTTCAGAACGTGTTCAGCGTATATCTCCACCATTGTATTGTACCGTACAAAGACTAACCGTTGTTGACATGGTTTTGGTTCACCTCTCATGTGAACAATGTATGTACGTACATGAAAAGCGGGATGAAACTATTTGCCTCGCTTAGGGTGGGTCTTAACGAAGAAATCAGATCACGAAATCGCATTCAGATTTGGTGTTAAGACGGGAAGATCCAAAGAACTCTTGTTGATTGGCTGAAGAGTGACGGAACCCGTCGAACCTTCAGAACTTCAAACATGACGACCCAAAACCAAATCGGTACTTGTTGTTGTTGTTGTTGTTGTTGTTGTTGTTTTTCTTTCCATGAAACTCGTGTCAGTTGCTAATCCCAAAATCTAGCAAAGACTCGGTCCGTGGTAAAAAAAAAGCTAGAGCCATCCGAAGAACTAAAGAACACACACACTATTAGCAAGAAAAGGGTACATGAGCCCGAAGAGGTACACCTACAATCCCTGCAGCACGTTTTGCGTGCTCACAACTGAACTACACGCCCACGCACTACAAATCGACTACAGCAGCAGCATCACCCCCCTTGTCCCGCATGTAACCAAAATGAATGTTTGTCGACTACAGCGTACTGCTATCTGAAGTGCTGCCTGCACAGTAATAACGATAACACCATGGTGCATGGTACACAAGCTCGGGGCATGCAGCTGCTGTCTGAAGTGCTGTCAGAATGAGTCCGTGGACATGCAATGAAGAACACCCAACCAAAGCCATCATTGCAATTGACAACCACCCGAATCTNGATTGCAATGGACAATCACCCGAACCTCTCCCGATCGTCTGTGTTAGGCACGCAGTGAAAATATCGACAATAGCTAAGAATCGTTCCACATTGAAGGGGTCTTCCACGATTCAGGAACACAATTAAGGAACCCGGGTTATCCGCGCCATCTCTGCCGCGTCTCTCTACAAAAACAGTGACTTCATCACACACACCCAACACCTATTTTCAGGAAAAAAACGGAAAATATTTGACAATACAAGAGATGTTTGTCCGTGCGCCACGGTTCGATGNCAGGAACACAATTAAGGAACCCGGGTTATCCGCGCCATCTCTGCCGCGTCTCTCTACAAAAACAGTGACTTCATCACACACACCCAACACCTATTTTCAGGAAAAAAACGGAAAATATTTGACAATACAAGAGATGTTTGTCCGTGCGCCACGGTTCGATGCCACCCGCATGCTCCGGTTCCGCTGCTCCAGTGCCGCTGCTCCGGTGCCGCTGCTCCGGTGCCGCTGTGGCCCGGTCTAGCACGACCAAACTCTACCCGCTCGCCCGCTTCGTACACGCTCTCGTTGCTGTCTTTCCATGGCGGTTCCTCGCTTTCTCCCTTGTTGCACTTAGGGTCGTTGGTCTGAAAATTCTCGCGCCGAAGGGTCAACCAGCCCAATCAGCTCGTCACCACCTGTTCCCTCCTCCTTTGATAGCAAAACCAGGTTACTGAGACAGTACAGCCCCCTCTAGCAAACCTTGGGCCGTGTACACAGTGCCCGTCCACCTTTCTGATGACGTCTGCCTCCGCGCACAAAGATGGGATGGGCATTGCTGCCTACACCGACGGCCTGGAGGCCCGCGCATCTGCACCTTTGCACCTGACGCACCAGTGCCGACCCAACTCCACCACTACGCACGCCTCGCGGCGGGTGCGCCGCAGCAAGAAGGTATCGGTCCCTTGAGGGTGAGTCTAGCCCTGCTCGCTGGAAAGACCCCCCCCCTCGCTATGGGTCATGCCTACGCAAAACCTTCCCGAGGCAGCGAGGGGAAGAAGGGGAAGGGTGTACTTGAAAAAAGGTGAAGTGATTCAATCGAATCCCCATTTGGGTGAACCGCAACCACAGTTGCGGGACCACGGGCTACTCGCATGCACGGCGCGTGTCCACCTACCCCCATCCACATGAACTCCATCCACCGCCGAGCACAGAGGAGAGAGCAAGCACAAAGAGCCAACCCAAAGGAAGGGTGACTGCGCTTCGTTGTTGCACGTGACTGGCGGCGAAAAAAAACGTGCGGGATGTGTTGGTCTGTGGGGCAATCTCCTGTGGGTTGTCGAACCTAAAATGCTCAGACGAATTGGTG